ACAATCCCACCTGATGGTAAATGGTGATGTAGTCTAAGATGGTGAAGGGCACTGACTTAACAAAAGCCTATTCACTTTTACCTTGAAGACACTCACATCGTAATCGGATGGAAACATAGATGTGGCAACATATTCCACACCTTTGCTGTACTCATGAAGAATGATGTAGCATACCGGTTCTTTCGAATGCGGGATAAGTCAACAACGAAAGGATGGAGACTGGCCGAACGTTTGATTGTCCGATGGTTGAAGGTAGAGGGAGGAATTAAATTATGCAATTTCTGCTCACACTCTCCGAAATGCATCCTGTAGAAAACCGAAAGGCTGGCTGCTTTGCGCCTGTGTTTAAGGCTGGCAAGATTGGTTTTAACCAAATTTGGGTCACCAATAAGCTTCTTAGCACGCCTTTCCTTTAAGCCCAAAGCTGCTAGGTGGCAGCCCATATATGGCAGCAATACTCCATGCACGACCGGACTTGCGCTTTTTATAAAATAAACAGCTGTCCCGGCGTGAAGTATCGCCGCACCTTTGCAAGAACTTTTGCAAGCTTAGACTACCCGCAGAGATCGTTCACTCAGAAAATCCTATATCCAGTCAATCAGACCAGGGGATTAGCTGTACGCTGGAAGCTTACCCAAAAGGAAACAGCAAGTGCTTCCCCACTGGTCTCGATTACCTCGCCCTATATTTGTGTGGCATACGCTAGAAGGTCCACAGCTGACCGATTTCGGCGAAACCCGTATTGCTGGTCACTAAGGCGGTCAGCAGGTCGGGTTCAATATACGCTCTATAATATAGCAGAGTATGGAGGTAATTGACAGGGTCAGTATGGCATCCTTTTTTTGGGACAGGCTGCACGTTGGCCAGCTTCCAGGATTTTGGCATTATTCCAATCCTAAATGAGAGGTGGAACAAGCACGTCAGCACAGAAGACAACTGTGGTGCACAATAGGCCTTTAGAACTGTAGCTGTTATACCATCTGGTCCATTATCTTTATTCACGTCTAGACACCGCAATGCTTCAAGAACCTCCTTATTTGTGATACAAACCTTCGTCATAGAGATCTCGCAGTGAGGTAATTTAGGAGGAACGTTGTTGTCACTGTCAATACCTGTACCTACCACCACCCAGATTGTCGAAAAAGTATCGAAAAGGTGACGGAGACGCTGGAAGCAGGTGAAATTTGAGCTCCAGCGAGAATCCAGGATAGTCAAGGTACGCCGCATTCAATAGACATCAAATTTGGGTCTCCGTCAATAAAAGTAGGTGCAGTGCGGCTACTCAGTCTCAAGATGGTGATGGACTGCGCTGAGATTAGAGTGCGATCTTCGAATATTAGTGAGGTGCGCTTTCAATGAGAAGTGCAACTGCTGTTTAGTCATACTTTTCTTTTTAAGATACATATTACGAGTTAGGAGTGAATAAGGATGGAGATCGGCAGTCGAACGAGACTTTGCATTAGCAACCAAACGATAATACCAGAGTTATTGCGCCTATGGGAACTTGATCTGGAGACTGAGGGGACGCTCGAACCTCCCCAGAGATTGCCATAGGGTCCTCCCGCCCGGTCGCTAACTGGCACGATAGAGCCACCCTGGGATTTTTCGCTAGTTGGCGAGACAGCCTTTCATGAGTAGGTAATTCACTAATTTGGGCCGCAACTAGCTGCGGTCGGCCAGCGAAACACCGTGCTTCGGATCCCGCTGCAGTCCACGACCAAGCATCCGACGCAAAAACGACTGACGCTACGTACCCGGTTCATACACACAACGCTACTGTTCAGACCCATTGTCCATATGGCTTCACCAAGAGTCATGCCGGAATACGCCGGAAAACCCAGCGGCCAAAATCTACTACCGGAATTTGTGCTCCTCGTTTAGCACTACACGGGGGACACGTGTATGGAGTCAGATTTCAAGTACCTATTCCCTATAGCCGCGAGCAGCCTCGTCCCCCAAAAAGTTCAATTTTGTTGACTGTTATAGCATGACGAACTGTACACATTTTAAACTTAACGAATTAATATGTGATATTAATGTAATACGTATAAAACGTTCTTTCTATTAGGTATTTTTACTATTTTACTACTTACGTGGTACCTTTACTATTCCCGTGGTAGAGCCATGCTGCAGCTATTTTATAGTCGTAGCACGAATGGGTCGGCTCGACCGGGGAATTACCACGCTCTCACAACTTGTAAAATAGCAGCTCAATGCTGCTGTGTTTCGTATGGAAACTTCGTATGAAATGTGTAGAGAACCGGATACCCTTTTTACAGGAAACGAGGCATTCCATCTTAATCTTCAGGGGTGGCAGGCAACGTATCTGCATTTTGATTCTTAATCGAGGATAGATGTTTATGTCACAGCATCCACTTCCCATCGGGTAGACTGTGTGCTCGTTTGTCACCCTTTTTCAATAAACAAAAAAAAAGGTATTGTTGCAGATTTGTGATGGTGCGCTTGCACGATTTTGCTATGCTTCTATATCTTAGAAGTGTTTCAGAGAATTTAAAAAAGGGTAGGTAGACACATTCTTTCATTTACTTCTCATTCTGTTTATTTTATCGTCTTTTATGATGGTACATTGCCTATGCGGGGTAAAAAATCTATGAATTTCTTCAGTGTCATAGCATAGCATTTAAAGATTCAAATCGCACATTAAAACACATAAAACAATTATTTTCAAGTCATTCAAATACTTCTTACATGCGGGAATCAAAGACAAAATCTGCAGTAACCTTGCAATGCTTGTACTCTCTTTTTACTCTTTTGAGTTTTTTTTTTTGAGTAGTTACTTATGTTACAAACAGTTCTCTTTCATAGCTAACTAAGCGTAGGGGTTCACCATAAATAGAAAATTTCTTTTTTGGGTTTTGCGGCGATGAAGATGTATCTATTGTAATTTATTGTATTGTATTTTATTATATTATAATTTATTGTATTATTTTAGTTGTTCCATGTCGAGTCAAACTATATCTCACTTTAGAGAACCAAGTAACTGTCCCGAATAGGCAACAAACACCTATTAAGATTATTTATATATTTTTGTTTAAAATCACACACAACCTTAATGAAAAATGCGAATATTTGTTGTATATTTAATTTGGGTTATATAATATATAAAATGACGCCAAAAGCATTTTATCTCAAAGAGAAGATTGATAAATGTCAATGTCAATTGAGAAATGCTTCCATGACGAATACATATTTTTGTAAGCGATTTCAGGTTAAATATAGCCTCAATTTTATTTCGTATTAACAGTCTATTGGAAGGTGAAAACATAATTGGGCAGAAATGATTGATACGATAACATGGAAGAATCTATATTTTCGTCGATTGAACGCGTAATTGTTAGAACTACATAAATTTAAGAATATATATATATATATATATATATATATATATATATATATATATATATATATATTCTTCTGTACGTTGTTTGTCACAGAACTCCTCCTAAACAGCTGGAACGATTTTAATGAACTATTTTCAGTGTGTTTGAGTGGTTTAGATTTACAATTGAACCCGGTAGGTTGTCGAGATGCCGAAATCACCGGATCCGGTGGATTCAGGGGGCCAGTAACATATACTGAAATAGGTACCTATACTGCGATAAAATTAAAAACAAAGGTTTTATTTCTTAAGCGTGTTAGTGCAAAGCTGCAGCTATATTATGGTTGTAGCACGTATGGGTCGGCTCGACCGGAGAAGGACGTGTGGTCCTTACGGATTACCAGCGTGAAGAAGTAGGTAATTGCTACTGTGTTTCGTATGGAAGGATTGGTGAGGATTGAACTGGAGACCCTTTTTACAGGAAACGAAGCATTCCATCTTAGTCCTCAGGGGAGACAACGCATTCTGCGTTTTGATTCTTAATCGAGGATAGATATAGATGTCTATGGATCACAGCATCCACTTACCATCAGATGAACTGTGTGCTCGTGTATTACCCTTATTCTATAAAAATCGTATGTTGGCGATACAACACATCGTCAGGAAAGTAGCATTTTTGAGAAAAAAATATTTCGATGATGTGTGAAGTCCGTAAATTCCACCGCTTGATCTTATCAGGTGGAAGAAAGAATATTTACCTGCTCTTTCATTGGTTAGAAGGTCGGGTAAGGCCGGCGCTACAAAAGCTATTAAGAGTGAAACTATAAAATGTTTATGAGTTTTTAATATTCTTGTGGCACCTACGACTGTACTATAGAGCTGAGAACGTGCTTTTATGCTGCCGAGTGTCCATGAACAACTCACTAAGCGGACTTTGCATGAAAACATTATTATTACTGTTACCAAGATTAAGCACCTGCGTTTTGTATGAAAGCGATGGATGGCTTTAATCGTAATTGACAAAATTGTTATTGTTAATGACTGAAGATTATAAAATCAAAGTGGTAACGGTTTTATAGTAATCTATTTATTCAGTTTTTATGATAACATTATTAATATTATACTAAATAAAATATTATTATTATTTCAAATATTATAGAAATTAATACACACACAACTAAATACTTATTGCATCATGTAGTTTATTTCACAAAATTTTTTTCAGGAGGAAATTTCAAATAGAAATGCAAAGGCGGGTATTTCAAGTGAACTAACATTAATTTTACCGGAGAGAATCCCCTTACTTGCTTGTACCACCTGCAGTTGAACACTGCTGCTTAATACTTTTTTATTACTTTGAAAACTAAATATTAATGCGATAAATTGTAGGTGATCTATTCCAAATTGTTGTTTTTATACTTAAGTGGAATTAACGTCGAGAATTATAGCAAATGTTCTTTTTATTATAAGTTTTAACGATTAAAAGACGATAAATAAAAGACGTAGGTATTATATAAAGTTTTTATTCAAATTAATTATTCAATATTTAATAAATACATAACAACTCATTGATGTTTCATATTTAAAACATAAATCTTTTTTAAGTTTTAGCGATACCAAAAGTCCATTTAAAATTCAAATTCAAATTGCTTTTAGTGATTTAAGCACGGGGAGGAACTCTGGTACAAACTCCTTTCAAGCAAGTGAGTTGGTCACGGCAGATTGCGGATGGTGTTTCCCCTAGCTCTTTGCTGTAGGTCTTGCAAGCCGCGCCTTCAGCTGAAAAATTATATAATATTTGATTAAAAAAGTAGTTTATAGTTACAAACATAATAAATAATCTATACGATATAAATATATACGATTCCGAACAAGCCCCGAACATTAATTTCCAGAAGAGCAACTCGCCTGAGATTAACCTCGAGAAGGAGGATTAGCGGGGTTAGCAAGTTGACTTTCCACAATATCAAACGCCAGTTAAAAACTATAAATAAGACAATGGGAATGACATAACTCAACATTACATTACTTGACCTAACGTTGATTTCATTAATATAAATAGTTTTTTATATCGTCAACGACAGCAGAAAGTGAAGTTGCTAACCTCGATGCACCGCCGCAGCCAGCGCCTAAAGCATTCTTTTTTATATTACTTTTATATATATATATTTTTTACGTGCATGTTTGCGTAGGTATATGGATGTAAAGGAGGCGAGAGAGGTGTGTCAGGATCGTGCCGAATGGAATCCGTAGTCGAGCCCTCTGGGTGACAGGCGTGAGTGTTTATGTTTGTTTATGCAAGTTACATTTTTATACATTCCAGAAAATTAAACAAGATATTTTTTACTTATTGCCAATGAAAGTCCACTGCTAAACATAGGCCTTCCCGTAGATTGTCACACAAGTGGGTTGCTTGCCATATTTGCCACGCTTGGCAGGTCGGTTGGCAACCACAGATTTTTGATGCGTAATATCTTTCCTCTTGCTTTCTAGCAATCTGTGGGAGTGACTTTGTAAAAAGGGACGGAAGTGTGTAACAGGAAGCCGGGGAAACGCGCGCTATTTGATTTGACCATAGAGCGCGCGCGGTGGTAGTAAAGTGTGCTGTTATATAAACTACTTTATATGTGTAACCTATATTAATAAATGTATTTACTGTTGATAACAAGTTTCTGAGAAAACTGCAGATCATTGATAAAAAAATGCAAGTGAGAAATAATGAATAACTTTATACGAATAAATATTTCAGTATATATCTTTTATAAACTTTGAGGTTAATTTCTACCGCTAATAAATTTATGTTTTTAATTTTGATTAATATAAACAAATAGCTTTTTTCAGGATATAACGTAAATGTTACTTATTATCAAAATGAGATGACAGATGTTACATATAATATGCGACTACTGTAAGGCTAGATCGTTTTTTTTATAGCTGTTATTAGGGAAATACTGCTTCCCATCTCCTGATTTGTCTCCCTCTGTTGCTTCTTACGACACGAGTAAGTGGGTAGTGGATATTCTTACACGGTCACTAAACGCCAACCGGTTACAACTAATTTTTAATTAATTTTGTCATTTACAAATACTGTACTAAGTTGTCAGCTGCGTATCGCATAATAAAGTGTCATATAGTATGCATACAGATACTCTTTGGTGCTATAAATGTATGTATATAAAACACGTTGATGTGGTAAAATCAGATGTAGGCAGATGCAGTGTCGGAGGAAGCAAAAATTATTTATATTTTTCTCCATATTACTGTTAATTTTTAAAACATACCTAGTAAGGTTACACAAGCTGGACAGCAGGCGCATTTGCCGGCGTGCTTAGCGCGGTAGATTGAGGGTGAACTACAGCTGGTGGGTGTGGGTTTAGTGGAGGTGCAGGGATGTTTCTCGCAGTAGTTTCTGCCACAAACAAGGTCACCGTATGCTAGGGCCAAGGCGCAGGCAAGAATAGCTAGGATGAATACAGCTTTCATTCTGAAACATTAATAATTATTGATGCGTTTATAACTCAAATTACTTTTGATCCAATCCGGGTTTATATTTAACGCAATTTTCACATCAACTAGTCATTGTTTATTGATTTTATTTTAATGTAACAAAAAATTAAAATAGTGCAAAAGAAATTGGGTTTGGTTTATTTATTACTTTCTATCACTGTGTGAAGTATTTACCGTATATGTATGTATATACATGTATAGAAATATACGACTAATAATATGTATTAGGGCATCTAGTTATAGATAAATGTCATAAACTTATTTTTACAATTGTATTCCCTTGTTTTTATTCACTTTGTTTACAGGTACTTGGTACTTGGAACTCTAGTTTTTTTAAATTTGTTTACCATATACCTAGTCAGGTCATAAGTATTGTCACACTGTAAAAACTTTTCCTTTAGAGTGCTGGTCACAAAAAAGTTTATTGAATTCGAATTTCGAATTGTTCATGAAAATAAAACTGTGTACTTTTTAGAATTTTACTGATTTTTAAATATGGAGTGGACGCTTAAAGAAGAGCGTGTTGCAGTTATTGCGTTGCATCGTTGCGGTTACGCGCCAATTGAAATTTTTGACATACTGAAAAATTTTAATAAAACCAAAAGATTCGTTTATCGTACCATCAAACGATACAATGAAGACTCTAGTGTAGATGACAGGTCAAGAAGTGGTCGCCCTCGGTCTGTTAGGACTCCAGCAGTGATAAAAGCTGTGAAGGCGCGAATTCAAAGAAATCCCAAACTTAAGCAGAAACTGTTGGCCCTTCAGATGGGGTTAAGCAGAACCACGGTGAAAAGGGTATTAAATGAAGACTTAGGGCTTCGGGCATATAGAAGAAAAACAGGACATCGTTTGAATGCTCGTCTAATGGACCTGAGACTAAAGAGATGCCGCCCTTTGTTGAAGCGGTACGCGGGAAAAATATCGGGAAATTCTTTTTTCGGATGAAAAAATTTGGTGTACGCACACAGTAGTGAAGAAGCGAGCAACCGTATTCTGCGTGTCCAACGAGGTCATTTTCCATCCTCGCTCATGGTATGGTTGGGAGTTTCTTATTGGGGCTTAACAGAGGTACATTTTTGTGAGAAAGGTGTAAAAACGAATGCAGTTGTGTATGAAAATACAGTCCACAAGGTTCCGGTTCTGACGAACCTTGTGGAACCTGTTTCTCATACCATGTTCAATAACAGGCACTGGGTATTCCAACAAGATTCGGCGCCAGCTCATAGAGCGAAGAGCACACAAGACTGGCTGGCGGCGCGTGAAATCGACTTCATCCGCCACGAAGACTGGCCCTCCTCCAGTCCAGATTTGAATCCGTTAGATTACAAGATATGGCAACACTTGGAGGAAAAGGCGTGCTCAAAGCCTCATCCCAATTTGGAGTCACTCAAGACATCCTTGATTAAGGCAGCCGCCAATATTGATATGGACCTCGTTCGTGCTGCGATAGACGACTGGCCGCGCAGATTGAAGGCCTGTATTCAAAATCACGGAGGTTATTTTGAATAAACTTTAGTGTCATAAGAATCTATGTTTTGTTAAGTTCATTTTGGTATATAAATGGTTACATAATGAATAAACTTGTTTCAATTATTTTATATTAAACATGTGATAGAATTTATGACCTGACTAGGTATATAATTTGATCAAGGTCTGACTTACGTTTGACGTTTTTGAGTTATTCTTAATAATTTATATTTATGTCGGTTGTACAAAATTTTACATTTTAAATTATTATAATTAGTAGTAATATTTTTAAATATAAACTTACTTGGTTTTTGTATGCAGAAGCAGTTGCCTGATAGGTTTAGTGGAGGAAAAATAAATGATTACTGGAAAGTATTGTCAAGCATTAATATGAGTAAAGTTAGATAACCTCGGTGTATGTTTACCTTTTCAGTAGCTGTTATGATCTCATCTGTTGTCTTTATCACACAAAATTATTATTAAGATGATTAAAATAAATGCTTCGCGGAACTTGATTATTCTTTTTAATACTAATATGCAAGTGATAGTAGGATTCAAGTTCCACGTACAATGTAAAAAAAACAGTTACCAAAAAATATCGGTAATTTTAAATACTTACAGGCGTCAGTTATTTCTTAATAATAGTAAATATGTAGTTTTCAATGAAAATACTAAATTACCCATGTAGTGGCGGGCAAGCATACCCACTAACCCATAACTTCCGTGGGTGTCATAAGAGGTGACAGGGGGAAACTGAGGCAGAAGATAGACAGCAGCATCTTTCTGATAACAGCAAAATAACAATAAAAACTGCGGTTGCCAACCCCCTCGCCAAGCGTGGCAACTATGGCAATATACCCCTTATGATGAGAATTACGAAGAGACGGTCCCCAGTGCCCGGCGGCCTCGCTATTCCTGGCTAATGTGGTGATCATGGTAACGGCGGGGCAAGCGGTGCTAAGAATCTCCGGTTGAGGTTCGGTTGCCATCTACGACGACTCGACCTGGTAACATATAACGTATGCACTCTAAGAACTGATGAGAAGATTCTGAAGCTGGAAGAAGAGAGGGAGGACTAATGATTTTTCATTTTTCACCTATGCGTCCGCGTTTTGACGAAATCTTGACACAGCAATACTAAAATATATAGACGTGTGTACATACATACATCTGCTGTGTTCACTTAATATCCTCAGGATAATGTGGAAATTGATAATAATTAATAATAATTTATTATTTCAATCAAAAATGTATCTTAATTTCTAGGATATAAACACTTTGAGATACAGCTTAACAATAAATAAATACAATTCAGTGAACATCTGTGTCTGAACTAGATAACTTAATATCTGTGTTTCAGACAGCAGTGCTCTTCCCTTTAATATTATACATTTCACTGTATACAAAACAGATCACTTACCAATAAGTAATTTAAACTTGTAGAGTGTAGCTAAACCTTCTTGTGTTTAGTATGATAGTGTTGTATGTGTGTAGGAGATTGAGTATAAAATTTAAGGAAGTACATTAAGTAATTGTTCGGTTTCTTTATAGTTCAGTTTATGAATATATTGAAATAGTTTCCTTTTGCACTCTCTGATATTTACGCTTCGTATGTCCACAATTTTGCTGATTTTAGTATATAGATATGGATCCAAAAAGGGAAAATATTTATGTGCGAATTGATGTTCAAATGTTGGTCTATTGGGAAAAGTTATATCTCTGCGGCAATTGTATCAGAGCTTGCGTGTTGTTGCATAATAGTGAGCAGGATGAACAGTTGGCGAACTGAGCGGACTTCGCAAGATTGATACAGGAGGTACGTAGGAGACAAATACGGTCGAAAAGTGCTTACTTTAAGAATTTTCTCTTTGAGCTACTTCAAGTGGATTAATAGTCGTTTTTGGTGCACCTCTCCATACAGTAAGGCCATAACGCACTATAAATTGTCCAAGAGCCAGGTAGATTTGTTTGACTAATTTAGGATCTGCCACATTCCTTAAAATTTTAAAGACGTATATCAGATTTCTCAGCCTCGCAGTAATTACATTAACATGAGGTTGGAATGAAAGATGTTTATCTATAAGAATACCAAGATATTTAACCATATTGGTAGCAATCCGTGAAGGGCAATGGCATACATCAACATTGCAGCAATCATGCGCAATCAAAGAAAGCGGAGGAGTTGATGAGGTGCTTTTTCGCATAGAGAAAGGTATGAAGATGGTTTTTTCGGCGTTTGAAGTCAATACATTGAATTTTAACCAGTGACACACACACTATTAAAGCCCTCCTGCGCTTATCTTCTATAAACATCCTCACACTTGTTGGCTGAGAACAAGAGTGCAGTGTCATCTACATAAGAGATAATTTTGCCACCTTCTAGACGAAGATCACAAAGGTCGTTTATATAGACTAGAAAGAGAATTGGCCCTAATATACTACCTTGCGGCATGCCATAAGTAATAGGTAGGTTATCACTAATAATATCATCAATTTTGGTGCATTGATAGCGATTTTAAAGATAATCTTATATTAATTTTAGCTGATTGCCTCGAATTCCCAGGCTGTCTAGTTTATTAAGTATCATTGGCATCGAAACTGTGTCAAAGGCCTTTGCTAGGTCAACGAATATGCCTATTGTTTTTTTGCCAACGTCAATATTCTTTATCACATGATCCACAAGTTCATGGACCGCATCACAAGTTTATTTGCCAGTTCTAAAACCAAATTTGAAATAGTTATTTGAAAGTAAGTTATTTACTTCTAAGTATCTTATAATTCTACTATTGATGATGCGTTCCAAGAGTTTGGAGACAGAAGGCAGGACAGAGATCAGCCTGTAGTTTGTTACTTGATTTTTATCGCCAGTTTTATAGATAGGTAATATTACTGATTTCTTTAAGACCGTGGGAAAAGTGCCTTCATGCAAACAGAGGTTAAAAATGTAGGTTAACACTGGAACTTAGACGTGTCTGTTCTCCTTTAAGGGGTAGTTAGGGATAGAATCCCAACCTAACCTAACGAACAGACACTTTTAATGTCCAAAATTAAGCGCTCCACTTCAGTCTCATCAGTGTCCAACAAAACAAAAGACTGTAAAGACCTGTGAAACTGCATTGAGAAAACATTAATGTGTGATGGATTCTTACAAGCTATAGTGTTCTCAGCCAAAGTCTTGCCAACCGAAACGATGAACTTATTAACATCATCCGTAGCTGCATTTTTTATTTTGGATGTGTTTGTGATGTTTTTATTGCATCCCAAAGTTTTTGGAAAATTCATTTCAATCGTCATTTTTGTGAGACATCAAATCTGTCCCAATAAGCAATAATATTGTTCTTACGTCAACCATACGGCTATATATATGACGGCTCCGTGGCGCAGTGGCTTAGCAATCAGTTGTTGCACTGGGGGCCGCGGGTTCGAATCCCGCACGGAACAAGTATTTGTATGGCCTACAAATAATTGTTCCGAGTCTGGATGTTTGTCCTTGTGCAATTTATGTT